AGGTTCTGATTATTGTTTTATCCTTGACTCGGTCACGGGTAAGTAATAATACGAGATTGCATAGGATTATGTGTTAACACCTTCTATTAAAAATTTAACTTACTTGTCACTGTTTGAGGTGTTACGACCGAAAAAATCAGTTATCAATCAAAAGCTAGTAATGCAAATTTTGAAAAACGATAAATTAGACAACAAAAGGAAAATTTATCTGTAACGACCCGACTTGTCGTTTTAAGAATTTACGTTCCGCTCGGTGGCTTAAGGTGTTAAACAACTTTGAAATGTGTATTATGACTTGCGAGGGTGGTCAAGCTTGGTTTTCGGATGATTCAGGATTTAATTGAAAGAACAAATCTTTTTTTGGAAGTTTAAGTTGAAATAATTGAGCGGATGGTGAATTATATGTAAACGACCCCGAAATGGAGTTTTGATGGTTCCAATAGCTCCGTATGGTGATTTTGGACTTAAGAGCGTGTCCGAAAAATATTTTAGAAGTCCGTAGTAAAATTTTGCTTGAAATAGCGAAAGTTAAATTTTTGGGAAGTTTGACAGGGGAGTTGACTTTTTTATATCAGAGTCGGAATCCAATTCTGAAAATTTTATAGATCTGTTATGTCATTTATGACTTGTGTGCAAAATTTGAGGTCAATCGGAATTGATTTGATAGGTTTCGGCATCGAATGTAGAAGTTGGAAATTCTTAAGTTCCTTAAGCTTGAATTAGGGTATGATTCGTGGTTTTAGCATTATTTTATGTGATTTGAGGTTTCAACTAAGTTCGTATGATGTTTTAGGACTTGTTGGTGTATTGGGTTGAGGTCCCGAGGGGCTCGGGTGAGTTTCGGAGTGGTTTCGGATTATTTTTAACTCCTGATTTTTTTTTACAGCAATGTGCGAAATTCCTGATGCGCAGAGCTTACTTTGGAACCTTATAACTCGAAATCTATAAGAAATCTGAAAATTATCAAAACATAAAAGTTGTAACCCTTTGATTCTAATTTCCATAATGATAAACCATTCATCATTCAGGCATTTTTACCAGATGTTATGATTGATTTACTGAAGCTGGTACTGCAGATTTTGGCTACAACAGTGTGCATCGCCAGAAATTTCTGCTGCACAGGGCTGACTTTGGAAGCTTATATCTCGCAATCTATAAGGAGTTGAGCGATGAGAAAAACATAAAAGTTGTAGCTCTTTGTATCTAGTTTGCAGAAATTTAAACCGTTTGGCAGTTGGAGTTGAGTACAAGAAGTAATGGTTGATACACTACAGGCTTTCGGGGAAAAGTTTTGGAAGAGTTTGATGTTTTCAGCATAAGCATGTAATGATCCAAAGGTCCATTTTTAGTTCTAGAGATCGAAATTAGATTTCGAGACTTACGGAATTTTGATAATGAATTATAGGAGCGATCTGGAAAGTTTGATCTAATTTCATCAAGTCGCGATTGGGTTTTTTGTGCGAGAGAAAAATTGGTATCGCATTGAGAAAATGAGCTCCGAATTGAGTTTCGATTGAACAACTAGGTTCGGATTATTATTTGTGACTCATAGGAATAAAAATCGTCGAATTCCGAGTTCGTATGATGAAGTTAGAGCATTTTTAGTGAAAAAGATAACTAGTGGTGCAAGCAAGTTCTGGTGTAGACTTTTAGTGACGAAAAATGGACTTTTAGTGACAAAAAATAGACTTTTAGTGACGGATGGGCGAAACTTAAGGACCAAAAATGGTCATTTGCTTCATTTTGTTTTTTGGATTTTTGGAGCACGGTTCTTGGGCGATTTTGAGGATTTCTTCATGACTTTGACTTGGATAAGTGTTCTATATCCAAAACTGATTATATTTCATAAATCCATAGTTATATTCATCATTTATTTCGGATTTAAATTGAAGAAATCAAGATTTTTGCAAAACTTTTCAAGAACGAAAATTTTAGATTTGGAGGTCGAGTTGTTATCGGAATTTGATAAAATTAGTATGGGTGGACTCATAATTGAATGAATTATTGGATTTTGTGAGTTTCGTCGGATTCTGAGACGTGATCCCCACAGGCGATTTTTGAGTTAAATTTCGGATTTTGTTGGAAAATTAGTATTTTCATATAGAATTAATTCCTATAATTAGTATTGACTGAATTGAATTAATTTGGATAGATTTGAGCTGTCTGGAGGTCAATTCAAGCAAGAAAGTAATTTTAGAATATCGGCTTAACTTCAAAAAGGTTTATCTTGCCTAACCTTGTGTGGAGTAATTTCCCCTAGGCATTGAGTCTTATGTGAAAATTGTGTGACTGAAAAACCATGTACGCTAGGTGACGAGTACATACTTGGTTTATATGTGCAAACTATATCGGTTAAAAATTTGTAGACACCCTTATGTATTAAATTGAAAAATTGTGGAAATTTAGTAAATCCTTGATTTGTCATGCCTCATTCTTTATTTGTTGAGTTTGTATTTATATGATAATTTGGTGTGATTGCAACTTGAAATTTTATGAGAATTTCATGTGTTTGTTGATTTGATATTTCCTGAAAATAATTATATTATGGATTTTTCTTATGCAAATAATTTATTAAATAAGTTTAAATTGAGATACTAATATATTTTTTAAAAATTTGGACTAAAGAAGGTGTTGTGTCATGCTGAGTTAATTTTCCTTCCTTGTTGTTGTTTTCGAGGTTTATATACGTTGTGTGGAACCTTGGGCTATTTGTTGTGAAATTAATTGATTTTGTTGCATCTTTTGAATTGGTTGTGACCTATGGGCAATTTATAATATGAATTGTTGTTTTGTGTTATCGTGGTAATATCCGTATAAATTGTTGTGTGATTTAGGTTACTAATATGCAGCGGATAAGGGTGGCATTCCACTGTTGATATTATATGGGTATA